ATTGCAAGTCTTTGCAGCTAACATACTTTATTGCTTTAGAATTTATCATAGAACCCACAGGGATAATTTGTTACAAAAATATAATTATTGTATTATCACTAAAATAGTTTGCTTTCCCCTTCAAATTGCCTTGCCTCCTATTTAACAATACATTTTTTAAAAAAATTACTTTGAGAAGAAATTAAAATAGAAACATAATGGAATGAGAACTGCTAAAAATACAGGACTGGAATATTGAAAATGCAGCTAAAACAGAAATGGTTAAATGTAGAATCAGCAGGTAACCAAAAGGGGTAATTTGGAACCAGGGAGAATATTGAGTTATTAGATGAGTTTGAAAAGACAAGTAAGAATAAAAACTCTGTCCTGGCCTTTAAAAAAATATAACCAAAAGTTAAGGTATAGAATATGTGAAAACATATGTCCAGAACTGTCCATAAGTCTTGGATAGACAGTTAACCAACATGCAACAAAGCACAGACGTTGGATAGGTAGCAACATTCTCCGTTCTGCCTGTCAAAGCCCCATCAGTACTTATATCTAGAACACTGTGGCCTCTAGGATCTATTTCTAAATGCAGGTGTGTCTTGGAGCATCAACTCCAGAAGCTGCTATAGTGACTACTTTTGTATGATATTAACAGCAAACGTGTTTTGAGTACTTGATTTATAGCAGGCATTTGTGTGGTTTTTTTTTTGAAATTGTAAAAACATATTTTATTTAACCAAATATCCAAAATATTATTAGTTTAACATATGATTAATATAAAATTATTAATAATGTATTTTACATTTTTTTCCAACTAAATCGTCGAAATCCAATGTGAGTGTGACATCACATCTCAGTGTTGACCAGCCTCATTTCAAGTGGACAACAGCACAGTGTTGAACAGTGTCTTAGTGGCTACCAGCAGGAGATAGTCCCCTGCCCAACTATTTAAAACAGCCCAGCTGCTCATCTACCACATTATCTATTTTGTCTTCTTTGCAGCCCTCACCAATACCTCAAATTTTATTATTTGCTTGCGTGTTTTTGTCCCTTTAAGACAAGGACTCATCTTGAACAGCGCCCAGCACAGGGTAGGCACTCAATATACACTGTCTCTGTCTGAATCCGTGTCCAGGGATGGAGTGCGGGCCCCTGGGCCCCCTTCACCCTCGCCTGGAGCTGCTCCTCTGCCCACCTGGGCCACCCCTTACCCTTCCTTCTCCAGGGCCATCCCCAGAGTGTGGGTGTGCCTGGGAGAACTCTGCCCCGCCTGGGATTTCCATGTGCCCTGCGGGGACCGCAGCTACAGACCTCTGAAGGCCCCACATGAGCTCCTCTCTCGGAGCTGCGGCTCCAGGACCTGCGCCAGCATGTGGAGCTCTCGGTGGCCGAGCTCTGCACTTGCGGCAAGGAGCCCTCCACTGCTTCCCCACAGGTTCTGCCTGAAGTTCTTTATGGTATTAATTCATTGAATCTCCCCAGTGACTCCAGGGATAGTACTATTAGGATGCTTATTCTGTAGTCAAAGGAACTGAGAGGCATGTTTTACAGTTAAAAGTAACTTGCCTAAGGTTACAGACTGTTGGGGAAACATAGTTAAAATGAAATCTGCCAACCCAGAAAACCTCTCCATAGAGAGAAGTGAAAGAAAACAGTTTTATTATCAAATAAGCATCAAACCAGAATGTGATGCACATCACAGACAATCCACTAAGAGATTGATTGCAAAGACAGAAGGAAGACTTACTTTTTTTTTTGGAGCCAAACAGATACAACCTTTGACATACATGTTCTCAAGATAAACAGTAAATAGTTCTCAACTGAGAGGGCTGGACGGCACCTTTTGTGACACATAATTCATCTTAGCTGTACCTGGTAATTGGGATGACCATCCATGTTAGCTAATTGTTTTTTTTCAGAGGAAACACAAACCTCATGTGGCTTTATGACAGGAGGAGCTCTGCAACTTGGAGCAAGGTGACTAAATAAGTGAGGCTTGCACTTTCTACAGAAATTAGGAGATAGTGGCACTATCTCTTAATGTTTGCATTTCAAAGAGGTGGCTCCCATGTCCTTCAGAAAGGATTACTGGGTCATAAAGCAGACAAAAAGCCTATCTACTTTTCAAAAGGATTTTATATATTTCAAAGAGAGGAGAAAGTACTTCTGATTAAAAGTTTTCCAAAGTAAATGTTTTAAGAAGAAAGAGGGGATGGAAATTTCTTATTTTTAACCGAGAGAATTAAGCCTCTTATTTCTGATAGCCTCTATGTATATATGTACTCCAAAAACATTTTTTTTTTTTTTTTTTTTTTG